CGATCTCTAACTCAAAAACGGATTATCTAAAACAAAAAAACGAAAGAGCGTTGTAATCTGCATGCGTGTTGTTATCGTTGCACGTAGGGGATTTTGAAAATTTGGATTTAAAAAAAAATGGGGACATATTAAAAATTTTTTCATTTTTTTTCCTCTTTTTTTTGGACCTAAACAGCCCTAAAAAATCTTAAAAATCAAAATTTTCAAAATCCCCTACATGCAACTATAGCTACTGAACAGATGAATACGGAAAAAAAGAAAAGTTGCAAATCGGTTCATATTTATGCAAATTACAGTTCTCATCAGTTTAAAAAAGTAGTTTCGAGAAAAACGGGTTTTCGTCGGAGTGCCGCGCGTGTAAAGTCATATGAAAATGAAGTTAGCCGACATTTCAAATTTTTTAGAAATTTTTTATTTAAAAAATTTCAATTAAACAATTAAAAGAAAAATTGTCACATGTTAAAAACTTGAAAAACTATAAGTGCAATTTTTTAGAAATATCTTTTTAGTTGTAATTTAATTAATAAAAAAAATTAAAAATTTGTAGACGTCTGCTAATTTCAGTGTCATGTAAAGTCATTTGACGCGCTGTTACAAAAATGACTATAATTCTGAAAATATTCGGAATTTTGATACCAAACTCTAGATACATATTTTTAAATCTATAAACTTGGATTTAATAAAAAAAAAAAATTTTTTTTTTTAAATATCATAGTGGCCATCCCCCTTTAAACAACATTCGGTCCGAATACACGTTAGTACGACTGAAAAGTTACTAGGAGAGAAAAATCGATTTTCTTGTTGATTAAAAAAAAATTTTTTTTACAAATTAGTCAAATACAGACTTTTAACAATAAATTAGGACAAAATTAGAATTAATTAGAGAAATTTTAAAATTTTAGTCATTTTCCCATTTCGCATGAAATGCCCCTCATGTTTACTAGATTTATTCTTTACGTCGCTATACTGAACTTTGATAAAAAAAAAAGAACAACATGGCACGTAACCGAAAATCGCGAAGATTTTTTTTCTACATTGCTATAAAATTTCTCTTATACGTCGATAAAGAAGTTTCACTTCAAAAGTTTTTTTGTAATTTTTTATCTTTTACAAAAACGATAAAGTTTTTTTCTTTTTTTTTTTTGTGTGTTAAAAATAAGACACTAAATAAATTCTTTAAATTACAGGAAAACCTGAAAGATGTCGAAGAGAAACGTCTGGTAACAGATTCAAAGTACCTCGCACTTTTGGGGTTAGACAAACAAACGTCTTCAGGCGCAACAATAACACTACCAACAACTCAAAACAACATCACAATAGTAACCGTACTGCGGCCTGGAAATGAACTCAATTTCTACGGATTTTTGAAAAATGTTACGCATTTTTTGCCAAATAATAATATTGTTATTTACGCGTTAAGTTTAGGCGAAGATACTTTACAAAATCTTCGAGGTTATTGCAACTCAACAAGATGCATAATTTATACTTTTGACTTGGATCCGTTTCCTAATCACATTGAAGATGATAGATTACATGCCTATCGGCCTCTAGTCATACAGGTAATTACAAATCATTTGAAATTTCTTGAGCTGAAGAATTTTTCTTCTTAATTGATTGAAATTTTTTTTTGTTTTCCAGACAGCATTAAATACGCTAGGTAATATCTTGTATATGGAGTCAAATGTACGGATAAATAATACCGATGTAGTTAAGTATTTATTACCAAAGTACGGAATACTTACGTGGCCAACAAAACACGCTATTAGTTCATTAACGCACCCGAAGATGTATGAGTACTTTCATATGAATGCTGAGAGTTTCTTCTTCCTACCGCTGATACATGCCTCCCACATTGTCATTAAAAATAGTTTTGATGTTCGAGAAGAAATAATGCTGCCTTGGGTTCAATGTGCACTTACCAGGGATTGTATCAGTCCTATAGGTAATTTTTTATCTTACTTACAATAATTTTAAGAAGAATTTTTCTTTTGTTAAAAATTAAAAAAATATTCTTTTTTTTTAATTTAATTGCTAAAGAAATTAAAATTTTCAAATTTATGCAAATATACATAGTTAGAAATTATCAATACAATTTTTATTAATTTTTCAGAACATAAAATATATTGATTTTTTATTTCTTCTTTTTTTAGATATTAAAAGAAAATTTTTTAATAATTTATTTGTTAAAAAAAAAAAATAAAAAATCTTCAAATTTCTGTTAATATGCATAATTATTAGGGTGTCCAAAATGTAACTTCCTTGATGGACCTCTTAAAATTGGAATTTTGAGTTCCGCTTTTAACAGAAGTTGTGTTTGGGCATTTCCTGTCATATTTTGAGCGTAAAGGATTTATTT